GCCTTCCTGAGAACAATAAACTAGATCCGGCTTTCACTCAGCTCACTTCGAATCCTTCCGCTGCAAGTCCTCCCAGCTGGGAAATTCCAACCTGAGAAAGGATTCCGGCACTTAATCCTATTTAAATCATGAGTCTTGAACCAGACTTTCAAAACTTCAAAAAAATGTATTGGGAGTGAAAAATTGCGGCATTGCCTGGATGTAGCCAACTCTTGAGACAAACATTCATTTGCCCCTTTGACCCGGGCCCCCCCCCCCCGGTATATCATAATTCATATTCTCCAATGGGACACATCCATAGCCAAGAGTCATCAATCATACTCTCCAATTAGAATTTTGCATGGCAGAAACTTCAATCACCTAGTTACTATCTTGAAAACATTTATGGAATGCAGGTTGTTGCAAGCTATCGCACTGCTTCCCCCTCCCTTTCTGTTGACAACTCTAAAACATCATAAAATTATTTTATGAGTTAACTGGTCCCTGGTATTTGACTTTACCTTTCAACAGTTCAAAGCCAGAAAGGGTTTAAAATCAAGGGACTCTCAGCATTTCTTCCCTTTTCTTCGCTGAAGAACTCCAAGGCATGTGATCCTGTCCACCATTAAACCATTTTTCTAAGCAGTCACCATGTTTCAGTGGTGGGATTCAATTTTTTTTATTACCGGTTCTGTGGGCGTGGCTTGGTGGGTGTGGCAGGGGAAGGATACTGCAAAATCTCCATTCCCTTTCCACCCCACTAACCTGTTTTTCAGCTACGTTCTCCTGTGCAGGGCAACCAAAGACCCAGCCAATCAGCTGGAACTCGGGAGGCAGAGAATAGATGGGGGCGGGGCCAGTCAGAGGTGGTGTTATGAACTACTCAAAATTTCCAGTACCGGTTCTCCAGAACTGGTCAGAACCTGCTGAATACCACCTACCTCTGCATGTTTCCAGTGTCTTTTTTCCCCACTTGGAACTGTGTTCTTCCAACACAACATTGCCATCCATTGCACAGGAAGCAGACTAGGCTGTGCTAGGTGGGCTAGGCACCTGCTTGGCGGACATTGCCTTTCTCCCCACATTTCTCTCTGGGAGCTGTTTCTTCTTTAATCCTATTTAAGAGGGATCATTTCTCTCCCCACTATAATTCTGATACTTCAGAAGCAGAATGCAGAATAACAGAGTTATAACCAATAGATCAAGCCATTGGTAATATCTGCACTCTGCAGGCTGCCCGAGCCACTGATTTGCTTAACCATTGTTGATTGAATAAAACCATTGCTGGGCAGGCCGAAATATTTAGCTATTAAACTGAACTAAGTTGAATTTAACTTTATAACAATGGGTCACAAGTTGCAGTGGTTGAGTTTACACCAAATTTATCAAGTTCTGATTTAGTCTGTTGTATGTTGAAGGGTGAAGAATAGAAAAACTCAGTCCAGATTTCTTATTTTCATCAATATTGGCCAAGTGATCACAAAATAGTGATTCCCTCAATCATGCGATGAACGTATTTGCACACAACTAAGAAACAAGCAGGCCACCTTTTTTGATAAAAGGGTTCATTTCAAGACATGGAGTGAGTATAGGCCCAAAATTGCTGCCAGAATAGGCAGAGCTATTGGCAAGCTGATATAAACTGGTAGTCTGCCCAGGATGCTTACCATCCCAAAGGATATTTTGGAGACTGCAAATAAATGTACTAAAAGCTTGGATTTTACTTTGCAGCATACCAACTTCAGAATTTAAAAAAAAGAGAGAAAACCTTTTAAAAAGTCATGACAACGAATTATTATCAACTAATAAGTATCTCAGCATCACACTTCCAGCCACCACAGAAATTCTCAGGCTGCAAAGTCCTTTATTCTTGAGTTCCTTCTGCCACCTAGCTTCCAAAGGGAAACACTAAAGGTTTAAGAAATCTCCAAATCTCATTTAATGTCAGTGCAACATTGGCATTCTTGGGATTATGTACCCAGCATCCCTTGGATGCAGAATATTTACTGCCATGGACTAGAGACATTTTCCTTTCCCTGCTTTTAAATTAAAACAGTGATCTGAGCATCATCTTAATGCATTTGCACTGAATACCAATTTTGTTGTTGAAAATAATTCTCAAACTATGGGAAGAAGTGAGGTTGCTGGGCCAAGTCGGTGGTCCTTAAAATGGGCTCGTTCTCATCTCCCAGAATACCCCTAGGCCCAGATGCTCCAGAGGCAAAAGAAAAAAGAGCGATAGCAGAGAAAGGACGGGATGCAACTTTGCAGCTCTGCCATTTTCCCTTTTCTCCTCCAGCAAATTTCTGCTTCTCCCCTTCATTCATTAGTCCTTGGTATTTGGCTGACTTCAGTTGATGTTGAAAAGGCAAGCAGAGATTGTCTGGGTTCCACCTTGGATGGGTGATCACTAGAAAATCCTCAGGTTGTGATCCAGGAGTTGAAAGAATGCAGCAATAAAAACACAGGCACACAACCTGTGTGTGGAAAAAAAAAAACACTACAGGGAGCTTCTTGAGAAGTCATCAGGAGGTCAGCCTGATTCCAAGGGGTCTTGACCTTCAACCTTCCTCTGCAGGTCGTCTCCTCCTTTCTCAAAAGACACTCTCCTCCTTCCGCTTTTGGCCCCCAAGACCTGGAACACTCAATTGCTGCTGCCAGATTTTTCCTGACTTACTTTTTCCCACAGCAAAACCACATCTTATCCTTGTTGGACCTGATGGGAATTAATAACCCAAAGATCTGGTGGGCATCATTCTCATCCAAGTGTTGCCTGTCTATTTAGGATAGGTCCATCTTGTCCAAAAAGGGATTCAAGCAGTGGTGGGATTCAAATAATTTAACAACCGGTTCTCTGCCCTAATGATTTCTTCCAATAACCAGTTCACCAAACTGCTCAGAAAATTAACAACCGGTTCTCCCAAGTGGTGCGAACTGGCTGAATCCCAACACTGGTTTCAAGCCCCTCATGGTTTAATCTCCCAGCTGCATCACCATTTAAACCACTGTCTAGCCCAGGGGTCTCCAACCTTGACAACTTTAAGACTTGTGGACTTCAACTCCCAGAGTTCCTCAGCCAGCTTTGCAGACTCTGGGAGTTGAAGTTCACAAGTCTTAAAATTGCCAAGGTTGGAGACCCCTGGGTTAGCCCTCCATGACTGCACCTAAGTTATTCCAGCAAGTCTGCCACCTTGTGTCACCAGTACTTTGGCATTTGTCCTAGCTGAACTTCTCTAGGTTCCCAGACACAAAATTTGCCTTCCAGGCTAAGCAGGTGACATTCAACCATCTCTTGGCTATCAGTGGACCACAACCTCTGCCTGGCACACAATCTTCACACCATCCAAGGTACAGGCTTTGTAATGATGGGGTTGATCATGACCCCTCCAAAGAGGAACAGCTTCAGCAGGGCTGTGTCACCCATAATTGGGACATGAACAGCCGCACAGATGTTATCTGAGTGCAAAAGACCTTTTTGCTCTACAAAAAGAATCAGCTACCTTTGCAGGAACTCACATGGCTATCAAAGTCAGGATGGAGGCCTTGATCTTCCAATTAAAGAGAAGATAACACCCCCACTACACTGCAAACCCTTCCCCAACTTAGTATTTTTCTGCTAATCTTAATGGGATATTTATTGCCCTAGTGCTTTATTTATTTATTTTTATTTATTTATTTATTTGATTTGCTAATTGTTTACAAGATAATAAGTATAAGTGTATACATAGTTGTGAATACATGAAATGGGTACATATAAGAAAAATAAAAGAATAAGAGAAACAATAGGACAGGGACGGTAGGCACGATGGTGCGCTTATGCACCCCCCTCTTTAATCTTTTACGATATTGTTTTATTGGGTTGTAAGCCGCCTAGGGTCGCATGACAGTGGTGGCATATAAATTTGAGAAATCAATAACAATACTTCTGAAGGAACATTGTGTTCTGTGTTGCGGGACGAGGGGCCGAACCTGGATTGCGGGGTCTCACACAAAATACACTCCAATCTTGTTTGCGCCCCCCCGGCGACTCTGCTGCCCTTCGACTTAGAGGAAAGCGCTACCCCCCACTCCACCCTCTGAGGAGAGAGGGGCTCCCGGTTCCCACGAAGGCCAAACCCGCCTCTTGACACCCGGGGTCCATTCGCCGCTCACTGTCCCGGCTGGCGTTTGTTTTTCGAGCGGCGCCGAAATGTGCAATTCCTTTCGGGATTCGCCTGAAAAGGCTCGCTTTCTCCTGGCGCCTGGCCCTTCAGTCCCCGGGGTGAGAAAGAGCAGACAGCGCAAGGCTTTGGGGACTCCCTCGCTCGGGTTCCTCGCTCTCGGCTACCGCAACGGCCTCGTGGGCCTGACCAGCCCGGCTCGGGGCTCGGCCACCCTCCCGCCGGGTTTTGAAGGCGAAGGTAGGCGGAGGATGGCGAAAGGGCCGAGCTGGCGGAGCGGAGCGACTCCTGCTGGAGAACGTGGGGAATGGGCGTCGGCGGGAGCAGCGCTTGGCGTCGCCTTCCGCTAGGAGGTGCTGCGGGACCGGCCAAAAGCAATGTGGGCAGCGGAGCAACCAGAAGGGGCAACCCGGCAGGTGCGACGCCCGCGACCCCCACCCCGATAGGACGGTGGCGGAGGAAAAAAAAAGGGGGATTTTGGTGGCGGTTGCAAAAGAGTCTGGGTCTCGCTGTCTTGCTCAGGCTACGCTGCAGCGGCTATTCACAGGCGCTATCCCACTACTGATCGGCACGGGAGTTTTGACCTGCTCCGTCTCCGACCTGGGCCGGTTCACCCCTCCTTAGGCAACCTGGTGGCCCTCGGCTCCCCGGGGATCACCATATTGATGCCGAACTTAGCGCGGACACCCGATCGGCATAGCCCACTGCAGCCCAGAACTCCTGAGCTCAAGCGATCCGCCAGCCTCAGCCTCCGGAGTAGCTGGATTACAGGCTCGCGCCACCGCGCCCGGCTGCTACTCCCGCCCGCCCGAGCTTACTTAGAGACGCTTCGCGCTGTGACGTCACCCGAGGGTGGGAGGAGGAGGGGGAGGAGGAGCGCGCCCTTCCTCTGCGCCTGCGCCGTTCGCCCTTTCCTTTTCTGCCCTTTCGGCGCCCCAGACACGCGACCTCCGCCATGGGACACCAGCAGCTCTACTGGAGCCACCCCAGGAAGTTCGGCCAGGGATCGCGATCCTGGTGGGTCTCCGGACCTCCCCGCTCTCTGAAAGGCCCGGCGCCAATTCCCTCTGGACCACCCCGGCCTCTCTGCGCCGGGGGCAGCCGGGCCTAGCCGGGCCTGGCAGCGGCGGGCAGTAGGGAGGGAAGCGCCCGGCAGCGGGGAGGGGAGAGGGAGAAGGGGGCGCCCGGGAGCAGAGAGGGGAGAGGGCGGGGGGGGGGGGAAGGTTGGAGCCGGGAAGCGTCTGGGCCCGGCTCACCCGGCCTCTCTTCCTCCCGCAGCCGCGTGTGCTCCAACCGGCACGGACTGATCCGCAAGTACGGCCTCAACATGTGTCGCCAGTGCTTCCGCCAGTACGCCAAGGACATCGGTTTCACTAAGGTGAGGGGTGGGGGCGGCTGTGTAGGCCCCAGCCATGCCATGCTGTGCGCTTTGGGTTGCCCACTGCCGCCTTCCTTGCCCAGAGTTCCCTGGCAATGCAGCTGCCACACCACAATCAATGGAACAACTTTCAGTTCTAAGTTGTGGGTACTCCCATCCCTGAAGGTTTTCAAAAGTAAGATTGCACAGCCACTTGACCAGCAAGGTCTCTTGCTTTGAACGGGCTGGACTAGATGACTTCAGAGGTCCCTTCAAGCTCTGTGATTTTATGTTCATGCACTTCTGGAAGGATCTGCTGTTTTGGGTTGCCCTGCAATGCCCATGACTCCTCATCACTACCCAAACTCCAAGTGCTGTTAAAAATATGATAGAAAAAGTAATGTATAGGTAGTCGTTGACCTGCAACAGTTCATTTACTGACTGTTCAAAGTTTCAAAGGCATGGAAAAATGCAACTGGTGATCATTTTTCACAGACCTTTGCAGCATCCCCATGATCATGTGATCAAAATTCAGATGCTTGGCAGCTGCCTCATTTGTGACCATTGCTGTGTCCTAAGGTCACGTGATCCCCTTTTGCGACCATCTGACAATATCAATAGGGAAGCCAGATTCACTTAACAACCGGGTTACTAACTTAGCAACTGCAGTGATTCAGATTAACAACTGTGGCAAGCGTGGTTGTAAAATGGGCAAAACTCACTTAACAAATGTCTCACTTAACGATAGAAATTTTGGACTCAGTTGTGGTCATAAGTCGAGGACTGCCTGTATTGTAAAAGTTCAAGTGAATACAAATAACAAAGATGTAGAATTGTAGCCTCCGAAAAAGGAACATTAAATGTGATTATTTCTTTTATCTCCTTTTAGTTGGATTAATTCTACAGAAATAATTGAAGATGGTTTGAAAAGACATAGGAAGAGATTGGCACAGCTGGAAGACTGGGCTGGACAAGAGTCTCTCGCCAGACTTCTACTGTGCAACTCTATACAATAGAAGTACTGGGCTTCGTTTATTCCAGTCATTGCAATGTTTCTTATTAATATGTTACAATCACCATAATTCTAGCCATATTGACATGTCATCTGTAGCATATGTATGAGAATCTATTTTTGGAGGTTCTTAAATAAAAAAAGACTTAAAATCCAAAGTTGTGTTTGCTGCATGATTTTTTGACCTAAAGGGCATAAAATAAAGCTAACACTATAATTGGGTATAGTAGTGTTAGAAGTTTTTTAAAATCAAAATCTGAAAATCAATTGTAAATTCACTATATCCCCATTGGTTTATCCCTAAAGGTTTGCTTCAGTGTGAATGAATTGCCACTGCATTGGGTGGTGAATTCCTTAAGTACAAATATTTATAAATTTTACTTGTCTCATAACTAATCCTCCAGAGATAATACACCATTTTTCCTGTTTTGTTTTTCAACTTTGTTGCATAGCCATTATCAATTTAAACGATCTTAGTAATGGTGAAATGTATATTAGTCCATCATGTTTTGATTTAGTAGAACATGGTATCGAAACATGAGTATCAAGCATGTATGGTTAATTTATGGTTTAATGCAGTGATGGCTAATCTTTTCGGCACCAAGTACTCAAAGCACACAGGCGTACATGCATCCCAAGATGCAATATTTGTGCATCCCCTGCGCATGTGCCCTGTCTCCATGCATGCGCATACATCACCCGAACATGCATGCCCACCCCCACCCCTGGCGCATGCACGGCAGAGACCCGAAGACCAGCTGGCTGGTGGGAGGCATGTATGCGGAGCAGAGTAGAGCTGGGGTGACGGCTTATGTGCCATAGGTTTGCCATCATGGGTTTAGTGTATTGCGTTTTGGATTTTAAGGTTAGTTGTCATTTGCTGTTGTTTATTGTGATACATGGTTATGATACCAAGTAACCAGAGGGAATGCTGTGCAGTTCACCTGTACTTAGGGACTTTTGTGTCATTTGCATCCTATTGCTAACCTGTGAATAGAAGTTTGTCCTACTCATTGTCAGCCTATTTCATGTTTTTTTACACAACCTTTATTTCTCCTGAGGATGTTACTTAAGTTCAGGTAATTGGCTGCTGTGTTGGAAATGTAGTATTGTTCAGGCAGGATGAAAGAAAGAAAGCCATACTATAATGCTTAAAAGGAGCAAATCATAATGGTTCATAGCTTGCATTAACCTGATTTCAAATGACATATTGGAATGTAGTTTAACAAAAATTAAACCATGGTTATATGGTGGCATGACACGCTAACTCAGGATTAATTTATTGTGATACATGGTTATGTGCAGGAGACTTTCAACTTCCTATTTATATAATCTGCTGAAGAATTATTCATAATAACGAAACCTGTTGGGCATTATTTATCAAACTGCACCTACTTTTGCCGCCCCTATCACTGTTCAGGCTTTTAGTATATATTGCGTCCCTTTTATCTCAAAAAATGCAAGTGAACTTGGACATATTTCTGAAATGGAGAAAAAGATGCAGCATAAACATCTTAAATCTGCGTAAGTAGGGATAATATCTCTTAATTCCATATATGTTCTATTTAGAATTATTTTATTTTTTTATGCTTATGGACCTTCACAGTATCATAAAACAACCCATTTAAAAACATGGTCCTCCTTAAATAATGAACACCCTAGGGCTTCACAATCAGAACAAGGTGTTGTTCTATAAGAGAGTGAGGCAACTAATTGTGAATGTCTTTGTACAAAAAGTCATGTCAAAGATTTGAGAATTCTATATGTATCTTCTCAGTCCAAACATTCAATCATTGAAAATCTGTCAGTACCATACCAGAGAGTTATGGCTCTAGAAGCCTTCATCTCTTTATGCGGTCCTTCACTTCATTAAAAGCCATCAGAAGCCCAAAGAGTTCAGATCTTCCTAGTCTGTTGCTCACTTTCAGACAAGAAAGACCCTGAAAGCTCTTTGAAGCTTTTTTTTTTTTTCCCCAATGAAAGAGCATTCATTGTTGAACATAGAGATAGGAAAAACATAGTCACCGAATGCAGAGCTTGCATTAAATTTCCGGTTTGATATACACGCCTTTTCCTTAACTTCATCAAGGGCGGAAGTAGAGAGTGCATACTCAATCCCAGGGAGAGGGGGCAGCGGATTTTTTCGTTGTTTTGGGCTTAAAATTAAAACAGGTTCTCGTGTGCTTTAATCGCGTTAATCTTAATTTTCCTTATGGGAAATTAAGACTTTCATTGTTATGTTTGATTTTATCTCCTAATATTATAAGAGTTTGATTTTTCAATAATTTAATAATTTGCCTTTTTTTAATCGGTGAAGTCCTTGATGCTCTCTAAGATTGGTTGTTTGCTAGCAAAGATTTGATTGCCCAACTAGGTAATGTCATCAGTATGCTTTTTTTTTTTTTTTTTGGAATGTTGCAGGGATTTGAATTACAGTACAGCATCACTGACTGGGTTACGGCATGCTCATATACAGGAACTCAAAAGTAAGGGGTAAATAACAGTTAATGCTTTTAGTAACCAAGGCCTCATTGCATATTGGTTTTACCCTAAATTTATCAATAACTGTTGATCATTATTACCAAGTATAATCAACAATTTTATTGATAGCAAATGGTTAATAATTAATATTAATGTTATTTGCTTAGCTCTGTAGGAAGTTAGCACACACCCCTCTCCTAGAGAAATGAAATATCCTGGGAAATATTAAACAGGCAGAATATTTCCTCTAAAAAGAGTAGAAACTCAGAAGCAGAAACTTACCTCAGAAGCAGCTCACCCCCACCTTTGTTAATGGGTGGGCCATTAAGGCCTGGGCCAGAATACTTTACATAACAAAGATCTCCAGGTAAAACTAGCAATTGCTCAAAAGCCCTTTTCAGCGCATCATCATCCAGCAAGGCTAAACCAAGCCTGGAATTCAGGACAGCCTACAGAGTTGCCCCTGCAAGGCTTTCATCAAAAGCTTCATACTAAACCGTGAGAAGAGAATACCAAGTAAAACTAACAGTATTAGAATGGCCACACTGAATTCTAATGAGCAGCTAATGTACTTTGGGAGAGAAAAAATAAGAGTGGTCTTAACTGAATCAGATGTATGCACTGTACAGGTCCTGAAACTAACACAATGCATTGTGTTAGTAAAGTGTTGTAGGAAGTTAGCACCCACCCCTCTCCTACAAAAATGAAATATTAAAAAGGCAGAATATTTATCCTAAAAAGAGAAGTAGAAACTCAGAAGCAGAAACTCACCTCAGAAGCAGAAGCTTACCCCCACCTTTGTTAATGGGTGGGCCATTAAGGCCTAGACCAGAGTATTCTACATAATAAAGATCTCTGCCCATCTCACCACCTGGCTTGGGAAGATTGCATCAGCCAGAACTCAGGTGAAGCTATGTGGTCCAGACAAAGCCTACGAAGTTAGCTAAGATCCCCGCCCCAGGAGTCTGACAGCCAATGGGATACATTTCTTACACAGGAACAGGAAACACTAAGGTGGGGACCAATAGATGGTATATAAGGGACTCTCTGCATCTCAGCCCTTCTCTTTTCCTTCACCCAACATCTTGAAGCACGTGTTCGTCCTTTTCACTTTGGAGCTCCAAGCCATGTGGTCCTGTCCACCATTAAACCATCTTTCCAAACAGCCTCCATGTTTCCAGTATCTTTTTCCCCACTAGAAACTGAACCCAGAAGGATAATTGTTCCAACAGTGTATAATAATCTGATTATTGTGTATAAAGCATAATCTAAAGACAATTTAACACTAGCCTTTTGCTTATGTAGGAGTCAGAGATGAGTCTGAGGCTGGGTTGACTACTCCAGAAAATTAATCAAGTTATGGTGAGCGGACCTTTGTTCCTTGGGCATTTTCTGAATTAGCTATCTACCCAGTAGCCAGATTAGCTCAACAGATTAGAGACGATAGATATATGAGAGATAATGTTCATTTTTCCCTCTTTCATTTAAATAAAGCAAACTTTGAATACATGCAAAAGCATAGTGGCATTTTCATATTTACATTCATAATTTGCATGCACTTCTCATTAGGAAAGGAGGAAAAGGTTTTCAAATTAAACTCAGAAACTGGATAAGTCAAAGACTTTTCAATAAACTGCTTATCTTTTATTAGCTCTAATATTTTGTCATTTATTGTTTAACAAATATTGAGCAAGATGAAATAAGGCACTATTGGGTTTGTCATTCTCATAAAAACAGAATTTTAACATTACAATTTTAACATATAATCTAACTTCCTTATATTTTTTGAACACAGATATTTAGATACAGGGCCAAATTCAATTTCCAATTTCACCTTAAGAAGCCTATGATACAGATTAGTGAGTTTAGAAATAAGGAATCTGTAATTTCTATTGCCAATTTTTGCACACTTGACCAGGTCAACTGGGTCTATGGGAATCTGTAGCCCTGCCATATCTGGAGGGCAAGTTCCTCATCCTACTTTACATATTGAATACTACTAAAACAAATCATACACCTTGAAACCAGCATCACTGAATCATATTAAACTCAAAATGTTCTGTTTGGACTAATCTTCTGAAATAGTGTGTCCCAGAGATGCTGAACTTCAACATTTTTGGTGATGAGAGAGATATTGAGAACTTAAGACCAACAGTACTCGAAGATACCACATTAAGGCAGATTTTTTTTTATAAACTCACTGAAGTCTGGATTTAAAACCAGCTCTTGTTCACTCTATCTCTAAAAGTTGAGACTGGCATGAGTTGTCGACTATAGCAACTTGTTTTGTTCTTGTGAACTTATCAAAATTTAGAAGGCATGTGACCTCAGTAACATAGTATGAACAGAAGACTGAAATTCAATATAAGAGAAATAATCTTTCATTTAAAGAGAAAAAAACTGACAAATATCCCTTAAGTAAAATGAAAATTCTTTATGAACCTAATTTGTTAGACTGGGATATAAAAATGATTGTAGGGAAAGAGTTTTGACCACTACGTTATGGAGAAAATGCTCACTTTACACAAAGAACTGAATTTTTGGAGATAAATGAAATGCAATGTAATTGATCTGCACTTGAACAATGGGCTTCTGGTCACAAAAATGCAAGACCTGATATATGCAGATTATGGGCTATATTGCTACATAGAAATTTTTAAAAAGGCATTGTGAATCACACTGAGCTTTACAGTGGGAATGCAGCATCTAATAAAAACATACTAAGGTCTGAAGCATTGCCTCTAAATTCTACATCCCTTTAAGAGCTCCAAATCATCCACTTCTTTTGATATTAGCAGCTTCCAACAGTTTTCTTTATTGTACCCATGTATTCTCTCCTTTCACATCTGGAGAAAGGCAGCTATCTAGTTTCTGTTATTTAGCCCTTTCCTTTTCAGATCATCAGGCTATTTAACTTCCGCTTTGTCTATATTTCAGAACCCCAAAGAAAGGTGAAAAGTTGTTTGTTCCCCAACATCCTGAGCAGAATGCAAGTTTCATTCACTATAGCAAGAATATCCAATTGAGCAAAGGGGACTAGATCATTCTGTGTTGGTCCATCTAGTTTTCTGAGTCTCCACAATATACCAAACTATAAATTAATCCAACAGGGTAGGTTCACACAGCATGCTAGGCTATAATGTGGGTAGAGCAAGGATCTTCAAACTTGGCAAGTTTAAGACTTGTGGATTTGCACTCCCAGAATTCCTCCTCCAGTCATGTTAGCTCAGGAATTCTGGGAGTTCAAGTCCACAAGTCTTAAAGCTGTCAAGTTTGAAGACTCCTGGGGTAGAGTTATGATTAAAAACCCAAGAGTTTTGACAAATGTTTTATCCCAGACCCTTGATCTAGGGTTGAAGGTCTGGGATAAAACATTTCTCAAAACTCTTTTGCAAGTGTTTAATGTGTTTATAAATGGCTATATTCAAAAGATATGACCAAAGGTACAAATGGGTATAGAAAATGTTGCCCTAATATTTATTGAAAAATACATTTATTATAAGTAACCTAGTCATGTATGTATTTTCATCTATAGCTGTCAAATAAACTAATAGCTTTATACTATTGTGTCAGCTTCTTTTATTGACCCCTCAGAACTAAGTTCCAAAAGAAGAGCCAGTTTATCAAAGCAGATAACCAATATGTATCATAAGAAAGGAACTAGAATCTGTCCCATCTATTTCAAGATCAGAGTGTTAAATTATTTGTAAATGGATACTAAAAGGCATTCCTTATGTGACTGTTCCCATATTCACTGATTGTAACCACTGAACCAACCAAATTTCCAATCATTTCTGTAAAACCTTCTAAAATACTAGCCTGTTCCACAACAAATATACTTTTTAATTGGAATGACCATACAGTATCTGCTGTTCAAAAATAAGAACATATTTGAACTAACTCCTCTACAGTTACTAGATATTTACAATGAGTGCCAATATAAATGTAGAGAAGCATTTAATGATATTTCAGTAAAAATATAGGTCTCAATATTTTACCCTTGTTTCTGTGCTCTAATTAAATGATACTCAAATGATAATCAAAGACTACACTAGTCTCTTCACAAATACATTTGAGGATGACTGATTTTTATTAAACAATGAAAGGAAACCAAACAGGCTTCAAACTGTATTAAATATGACTGTCATATAATTAACACATCAGCATTAACAAACAGAAATTACAATATTTGAGAGTCAGGGTGGACAACTCTCCACAACGGTAAGGATAGCAAGAACAGTTCATCCAGCCACATATTCCAGCTTGCCAGTCGCCTCAAACCACTTCTGTAGACACGTATTTAATCCAACTGAAATGAGAAAAAAAGCTGTCAATATGACATGTGATAGGCTTACCAACATATCTCACTCAGAACTTACACCTCCACCTCTTTAATATCACAGCTATTTTGCATAAACAAACATTTTCAGTTGTTCATTCCACTTTCTTAACAGCTCCATCCCCTTTTAAGCTACAATGGCTGTCGTTACACATCTGTGAAAGCCCATCAGTCTTTCCCCACCTCAACACACATATGTAGGCATCATTTCCTAGAATTCCACAGGCACCACTGGCATTGCTGAGAGTGTTGGGAGGTGAAGTCCTGATCTATGGAGCAATCCCAACTTATATACTCCAATCTTTCTCAGTAGCTATTAAAATGCAAGCCCCAGCAGCAAAAGTAATTTAATTCACCATTATGCAGACCATTATCAAGAATGCTTTTCCATAATGGGTGGAGGTAGTCCTTTTAAATTAACGTATTATCACCAGTGATTTAGCAAACACAGGAATAATGGCTTCAAACAATATGAACAAACACTAAAAAAAGTGATAATTTTCATTCTTTACTATTTTAGACACATAGTGGTCTTTCCTTTCCCCCCTCACAGACCATTTCCCGCTCTATTTATTTATTACTACTGAACATCCAAAATACACCATTTAATCCCACATATATATGCCATATGCATACATACATATCACATATATAGTGTGTATTGGCACACAAAAAGATACATTATGTGGAACTTCCGGTTTGTCGGCTTTGCGAGCGGCAGGGATTCGCGAAGCTGCGCGATCCCTGCTGCGCTAGCCGCTTTTGGGGCTCCGATCCGGACGGGTATGGAGCTAGGCTGCCCTGCAGGGGCAGCTGAAGGTAGGGGGGATCCGGAGAGGGGTTTGGGGGTGTTGCAGACCCCCTCCCCGGCCGGCAGAACCCCCTTTTCCCAAGATGGTGCAGCGGCGGTCCGTAATGGCCGCCACAAAGAAGCTGGCAGCCGGGTAAGAATGCGCAGGAGGAAGTGGAGAAAGTTATTGAAAGGAGAAAGTTTTTCTTGGTTCCTAGGACTCTAAGACATATTTAACAAAATTCCTGAAAAGTATGACTTTCTGAATGATACCTTCTAGAAGAGGGAAAAAGCGGCAGTTTGGTGGTGCTGAAAGGAAAGCTTACCCTCTTTTCCTACGGAATAAATAACTGGATATTAAGAAACCTATTTTTTTTAGGTGAAAACTGGCTTTAAGCGATGAGTGGGAAGAGAGAGGACTAAAAAAAAAAATATTTGTATGCTAAGACTTTGTTGGAGGAGATGCCTTAAGGACTTAAAGACTAAAATATATTGCAATAAGATTTTAAGAAACAGATTTGGACTTTCTTTCTCCCTGATTGATACTACCCCAGGAGGAGAAAGTGAGAACTCTGCCTTGGTTTGGACTGATTGATAACTTTGGGACTGTTTTTTTTTTTTTTTGGAATATTCTGGTTGTTGTAAGAAGAAAGAAGGGGAAAAGAAAAGAAAAGATTTATAATGGCTCTTTCTATTGAGGAACTGAGAAAAGATTATGAACAAGCAAAAAAAATTGGTAAAGCTGGTTTGAAAGAAGCCTTCCTTTTTTTAGAAATGGCGCTTATTAGCTATCAACAAACATTACAACAGATGAAGACAGCAGAAGAAGGAGGAGGAGAGGAAGCCATTTTTAATAAATTTCAGAACTCGACCAAGAAGGAAGAGGGAAAGGAAGAGAAATAAAGGATTTAAGATTTAAAAAAATACTTAAGAAAGGGAAAAATAAGGTGCAAAATCAATATAATGATAGTAAACAAAAGGGAAAAGGAACACGACAGAGAAGGGAAGCCAGTAAGGCAGAGGCTAGAAGAAGGGGGGGTAGAAAGGTTTGTTGGGAGAAGAAAGAAAGGGAAAAGGTGGAGAAAAGCTACAAAGTTTTGAAATTAAATGGGAAAAAAGGAATTTTTTTTAGGGATAAAGGATAAAGTATAATTTCTTCAAAAAGATTTTGCAAGGTACATAAGATGATATTGTAGTATTGTACTAGAAATAGAAAATTTAAATGGTTTAAGAGTTGATAAGAGATTAAAATGTTGAAATGTTTAATAATGATTAGTTTTAAAATTTAATAATATGAGGGGAGGTTTAGAATATTGAGTTTTAATTAAAGAGTTTAATAAGATTATGGTATTGATGTTATTATAAAATTTCTATTATAGTATTTGTTTTTAATATTTAGATCTATTGTTTAACTATGTATTTAATTATTCTGGATGCACTATTTAGATAGAATGTACCAAGCAAAATCGGATTGGGTATTGGGTGTTATTTTAAAGGTTAATTTGATTAATTTAGGGGGGAGATAGAAAGGCATCATACTCTGATTAGTGATTTCAGGAGAAACTTCTTTTTTTTTTAATAAGGAACGAGACAAAGGGACAATAAAGAATGGACAAAAGATACAAATATAATGACTCAAATTAAGATGATTAATTAAGATAGAATTAAGAAGAGTGAAATATGTGGAGAAGTTAATATAGAAGACTTAGAATGGTAAATAAAATAAGTAATGATATGTAAGATGAGCATGAATATAATTGAAGTCCATGAAGAGAGAGATACCTGGGTCCAAGTTACTTTCCAAAAAGATTTTTTTTATGTTTTGTGTGTTGTGTGTATATGTTTTTGTTTTGGGAGAATTAATAAAACCTTGCAGAAATATAGAATGAGAATAATGGTAACTAAGTCAGAAAGAAATAGATGAAATAATAATAATGAAATTGAATAAGAGTAAAGAGAAGTAAAGAGAAATTGAATAAGAGGTTTTTGTATGTTTATATGGAAATGGTTTAAAACAGAATTATAATTTATCTGACTTGTTAAATTTATAATGGAAAAAGGTTTAAACATGTAATGGATAATGATGATTTGTGTGTTTTGAAAATTAATAAAACTTGTTTTTTTTTTAAAAAAGATACATTATGTACTATATATACCGTATGTGTGCACACACAGAGCTCTTCTAGAACTATACACATTCAACCACTTACTGCGTTTGGAAAACACACCGAGTCCACTTTCTGCCACACATTTAACTATAACTTCTGTACATTAGAACATCACACAAGCCATGATTTACTTCCCTAGGCTACCCATGACCGTTAGAGACAGGAGATGTCGTGGGCATTGCCAGGGAACTCTGGGCAAGGAAGGCGGCAGTGGGCAACCCAAAGAGCACGGCATGGCATGGCATGGCTGGGGCCTACGCAGCCGCCCCCACCCCTCACCTTAATGAAGCCGATGTCCTTGGCGTACTGGCGGAAGCACTGGCGACACATGTTGAGGCCGTACTTGCGGATCAGTCCGTGCCGGTTGGAGCACACGCGGCTGCGGGAGGAAGAGAGGCCGAGTGAGCCGGGCCCAGACGCTTCCCGGCTCCAACCTTCCCCCCCCCCCCGCCCTCTCCCCTCTCTGCTCCCGGGCGCCCCCTTCTCCCTCTCCCTCCCCGCTGCCGGGCGCTTCCCTCCCTACTGCCCGCCGCTGCCAGGCCCGGCTGCCCCCGGCGCAGAGAGGCCGGGGTGGTCCAGAGGGAATTGGCGCCGGGGCTTTCAGAGAGCGGGGAGGTCCGGAGACCCACCAGGATCGCGATCCCTGGCCGAACTTCCTGGGGTGGCTCCAGTAGAGCTGCTGGTGTCCCATGGCAGCGGTCGCGTGTCTGGGCCGCCGAAAGGGCAGAAAAGGAAAGGGCGAACGGCGCAGGCGCAGAGGAAGGGAGCGCTCCCCCTCCTCCTCCCACCCTCGGGTGACGTCACAGCGCGAAGCGTCTCTAAGTAAGCTCGGGCGGGCAGCAACAGCAGCCGGGCGCGGTGGCGCGAGCCTGTAATCCAGCTACTCCGGAGGCTGAGGATGGCGGATCGCTTGAGCTCAGGCGTTCCAGGCTGCAGCGGTCTATGCCGATCGGGTGTCCGCGCTAAGTTCGGCATCAATATGGTGATCCCCGGGGAGCCGAGGGCCACCAGGTTGCTTAAGGAGGGGTGAACCGGCCCAGGTCGGAGACGGAGCAGGTCAAAACTCCCGTGTCGATCAGTAGTGGGATAGTGCCTGTGAGTAGCCCCTGCAGCGTAAGCCTGACCGAGCGAGACCCAGACTCTTTTGCACCCACCCGCCACCACCAAAATCCCCCCCCCTTTTTTCCCTCCGCCACCGTCCTATCGGGGTGGGGGTCGCGGGCGTCGCACCTGCAGGGTTGCCCCTTCTTTTCGCTCCGCTGCCCGCATTGCTTTTGGCCGGTCCCGCAGCACCTCCTAGCGGAAGGCGACGCCAAGCGCTGCTCCCGCCGACGCCCATTCCCCACGTTCTCCAGCAGGAGTCGCTCCGCTCCGCCAGCTCGGCCCTTTCGCCATCCTCCGCCTACCTTCGCCTTCAAAACCCGGCGGGAGGGTGGCCGAGCCCCGAGCCGGGCTGGTCAGGCCCACGAGGCCGTTGCGGTAGCCGAGAGCGAGGAACCCGAGCGAGGGAGTCCCCAAAGCCTTGCGCTGTCTGCTCTTTCTCACCCCGGGGACTGAAGGGCCAGGCGCCAGGAGAAAGCGAGCCTTTTCAGGCGAATCCGGAAAGGAATTGCACATTTCGGCCCCGCTCGAAAGACAAACGCCAGCCGGGACAGTGAGCGACAGGGGTGTTGCGAATGGCCCTCGGGTGTCAAGAGGCGGGTTGGGCCTTCGTGGGAACCGGGAGCCCCTCTCTCCTCAGAAGGTGGAGTGGGGGGTAGCGCTTTCCTCTAAGTCGAAGGGCAGCAGAATCGCCGGTGGGCGCAAACAAGATTGAGATGAGTGCGTGTGTATGTGAGACCCCGCAATCCAAATTCGGCCTCTTCCCCCCCCTCAGCACAAACACAATATCCTTCAAAGGAGGCGCTTCTTTAATTTATTTTTTAATTTTACTGATTTATTAAATTTATATACAGTCCACGTTGCTGTTTTGCTTACAATCCGATTAAACCATGTTCATAAACGATTAAAGAGGAGCACAATAAATATAACCTTAGCTAAATGTCGGAATATACAATGGGGTGGAAATGGTAGCTTCTATTTAATCGAAGATCTGGCCTCCATCTCTACTTTTTGATGCCAGTGGGAGTCCCTGCAAAGGTAAGCACTCAGGTGGCCTCCCTGTTGCTGATTCTGGCCCAATTCTGGGTGGCACAGCAATGCAGAGGCTGCTCCTACCGGGAGGGATGTGGGGAGCTACGCTATCATTAGAAAGCAATGAAATGGGGATAGCCTGCCTTCCTAGTCTGAAAATTGTTGGCCAGACAGAGGTTGTGGTGCACACTGATAGCCAAGAGATGGATGAATGTCACAAGCCTAGCTTGGAAGGCAAATTTTGGTGTCTGGAAACCTAAAGAAGTTCAGGTAGGAAAAATGCTATTTCTCCTACTCGGTGGCAGAACTCTTGTGCAGTCATGCGGGGAGGGGATTAGACATTCTAAATCAGCCAGGCTGGAGAATTCTGGGAGTTGAAGTCCACAAGTCTTAAAGTTACCAAGTTTGGAAATCTCTGTTCTAAATGGTGATGCAGCAAGCCAGGGGGTTTAAACCTTAAGAGGCTTGTCCTAAAGAGATAGGCCCCACTTAAATGAGAATGATTTTGGGCCATTAATTCAGGTCTAACCAGGATAAGCTATGTGGTTGAGCTGTGGGAAAAGGTGAGTCAGGAAGGATCTGGCAACAAGAATTGAGAGGGCTTCCTGCAAGTATTCCAGGTCTTGTGAGGCCAAAAGTGAGGGAAGGAGAAGAGCGTCTTTGGAGAAAACAGGAGACGACCTGTGGAGGAAAGTTCAAGGTCAAGTCTCCTTGGAATCAAGCGGATCTCCTGGTGACTTCCCAAGCAGCTCCCTGTAGTTTTCTTCACAACAATACAGGAGTGTGTCTCTATTTCTACTGCTGCCTTCTTTCAACTTCAGGATCACAACTTGGGGATTTTCTAGTGGTCTCCCATCCAAGGAGGAACCCAGCCAATCTCTGCTTGCTTTTTCAACATCAGCTGTGATCAGCCAAAGGCAAGGATCAGTGAGTGAAGGGGAGGGGCAGGAGAAAAGGGGAAGGGAATTGTTTGCAGGATTGTAAAAGAGTCCATTTTCTGCCATCCTTCTTTTTTTTCCTTTTGCCACTCAAGCATTGCAGCCAAGGGAGATGCAGAACATTTGGCAGGACCATTTGACTTAGCAACCTCACCTCTTCCTGTTTTTTGTGAATTATTTTCAACTGCGGAACTGATATTCAGTGCAAATATATTTGGAGATGATGCTCAAATCGCTATTTTAAATTTAAAACAGGGAGAAAAACTCCCTTATTCATGGCAATAAATATTCTGCAACCATGGCATGCTGAGTTCATAATCCCAGGGGTGCCAGTGCTGCACTGAAATTAAATGAGATTCAGAGGGTTTTTTTTTTTTGTAAAAAAAATCTTTTATATTTATCTTTGAAAGCTAGGTGGCAGAAAGAGCGTAGGGATAAGAGGATTTGCAGCCCTAGAATTTGGATGGTGGCTGGGAATGTTAGGTGGGGATGCTCCAGTTTCATGATTGATGTTTTGTGGCAATTTCATGACTGCTAAAGAGGCCAACTGACGGGCCCTCATTATATATGTATTAAATAAATGCATCCAAGGAAAAGGTTCCTTGGATGCATTTATTTAATATATACATAATGTACAATTGTCATGGTTGTTTGCAATAAAGAAATAAAAGGGAAGCTAAAATCAGTAGTAAGGCAAACAATGCAGATTTAAAATCATCAATGGTAAAAGCATAGTTAAGAAGTTGTTATAAAGTCACATTATAAAGATCTGGAGTGCCTGCAGGTAAATGCCAGTTGTTGATCTTGCTGGGGGTTTAGGAGATGGGATGCCCCACAGGAAGAGATCTTGATCATCTTCAGAACTAACCTGGCTGCTGAATTACACACTGAAGTTTCCAGACTGGAGCCAAAGGCGACCCAATGCATAATAATCCTGTTGGGAAGGAAATTATAACCCATAAGAAGTTAGCTGGGGAAGTTGAGAAATACGTGTTGGAAGAACCCAACCCGTCTATTTCTATATTTTTTTGCCAACGTGATGCTACCAGCAATTGAGTTTTGCTTGAAGGAAATTCTTGGTTGCCATTGGGGCCACCTGTGTACCCGTTGCTATGCCACATTGTAGGAGGACCAAGGAGTCATTTCATCTCCGGACTTGCTCCTCTTTTCCTATGAAAAATGGATGCTTTCCTCTAAGGCAGTGGCCCCCAACCCTTTTTGAACCAGGGACCGGTTTCATGATTATTTATTCTTCCACGGACCGGTACCTGAGTAATGCGAGAATCCACCGCCATCTGGACGGCTCTTCGTTCAAAGCCGCCCCCCCCCTTCGACGAAACTAAGGCGTGAGCACCCAAACGCCGCTTTCCAACTGAAAACCCGGAAGCACTTTCCAACCGAAAACCCGGAAGCAACCGAAAACCCGGAAGCGGTGTCGAAACAAGATGGCGGCGCCCAAGCTTTGCGGCCCCGGTAAAAAATGATCCACGGACCGGTACCGGTCTAATGACCGGTGGTTGGGGACCCCTGCTCTAAGGGGCCAATCCAGTGTCTCTCCCCTGCTATTGGCTATCATATCAGGCAGCGATTCTGGTTAACCGAGTAGCCTCCGAAAGGCCTCTATCCTTTGCATGTCCTTCTCACCTTTCCACCCTTAGCTACAGCCCAGTCATTCTGTTACTCTGCTCTCCCAAATTCTTATTTCCATTAACCAAAAGTACACATATAGACTGGGTGAAATCAGGCTTAATAGCAGTAACTTTGAGAGGGATCTTGGAGTCTTAGTGAACAACCAATTAAATACAAGCCAGCAGTGTGCAGCAGCAGCCAAAAAAGCTAATGCAATCCTAAGTTGCATTAAGAGAGGGGTACAATCAAGATCAAGTGAGGTGCTAATACTACTCTATAAATCCTTAGTAAGGCCATACCTAGAGTACTGCATCCAGTTTTGGTCACCACACTATAAAAAAGGTGTTGAGGCTCTAGAAAAAGTACAGAGAAGAGCAACCAGGATGATTAGGGGACTGGAGGCTAAAACACAACGAACAGTTGCAGGAACTGGGCTTGGCTAGTGTAGTGAAAAGAAGGACCAGGGGAGACATGATAGCAGTCTTCCAATATTTGAGGGGCTGCCACAGAGAGGAAGGGGTCAAGCTATTTTCCAAGGCACCTGAAGGCCAGACAAGGAATAATGGATGGAAACTGAACAAGGAGAGATTTAACCTGGAAAAAGGGGAAACGAGAACTATCAACCAACAGCTTGCACTCAGAAGTTGTGGGAGCGTCATCACTTGAGACTTCCAAGAAGAGATTGGACTGCCATTTGTCAGAAATGGTGTAGGGTCTCCAGCTTAGGCGGGGGTTGGACTAGATGACCTACAAGGTCCCTTCCAACTCTGATTATCTGTATCTATCTGTAACCAGGCCACAGAAATGGTGGGCATGTGTGGGTATATGCATCCTCACTTGAGTGAGCAGCGAGCTAGCGCATGTGAACACACTTCATTTCCACAAGTGTTGGGCAATGGAACAGTGTTCCCCTGGAGAGAGATCTGCAAGGCTTCTGCCCTTCAGTTGTTCTGCAGATCTCTGAAGACTTGGCTTTGCTTCCAGGTCTAGTTGCTGAACCCCTGACAATTCCTTTTGGGGTGTTTTTGTGTGCATGTGTGTGTGATGTTTTTTCAAGATATGCATTATGTTTTGTTATTGTTTCTT